GTGAGGTAGATGTAGAACAAAAAATAATATTTCAGTTGGCATAAAAGTTGCTTCTCCTTCTAAATGTAGTGAAAGGATTTCTTGTAGTAATTATAGAGTTTTAATATTTTAGTCAGAAGCCCTATAAGTCTGTCCATTTTAAGACATCCCCCCCATGGCTAGGATGAGGGATTCACAATCAAAGGGAACTGATTTTGGTATCTCTCTCCTGCATATTTGATTAGCTTTTCAAATGTAAAAAAAAATTAAGAGGGTTTATTTTCTAATCTTAGCATCCAAACAACTTTCTATCTTGTTTCTTAAAATTCCAACTTTTGCTGCATAGTGTCACAGATCCACTGCCTGCATAATTCTGATCTGTCATAGAATCTGGTTACCTTTTGCAAGACCTTCACTATTAAATGCTGGTTTGATGATGTTACAAGTTCTTTTTTTGAACCATCAATAACCAGATCGACAAAAATCAGTGGAAATTTGTACATCTGAATGCAGTTCTGTCCTCAATTGCTGGGGGGGGGGGGGAATGGAATACACTTTTAGCTTACAAAAGAAAAGCTTACAAATAAAAGTTGAAAACTAGCATAGAAATGAATCTTAATAATAAAACTATTTCCTATTTTAACAATTTATTTCTACAAGTTCTTTATGTATTGTCTTTAAAGTCAAATTCCATTATATTCTCACATTTTTCTATTCTATATCTCTAATATATTTGTTTATGGCTGACTTCTAAGTTCCTATAGTCTTAATCCTGTATATCTGGATGGTTGCTCTCCTTAGAGCTGTGCAACTTTTTCTGCAATTTGTTCCTTTATCTTTTTTTAGTTTCTGTCTCCTATTTCTGTTCTGCCAAAGTCTTGACTTTTTCTTTGCCTTTTTTTGTTTGTTTATGCCTGGACATCTTTTACATCTTCTCCCTTTCCCAATCTTTATGCCATCTGAGGAAAATGGCTTGAAGAACTTCTCTGTTACACCTGTCTCTTTCTAGTTTTCTTAGCTGCTATCTCCTTTCTGGTTGCCTCTTCTCCTCAGAACTGCCTTTCTCTTATTTTGTCTCTTTTCTTTGACTCCTGGGCTTGGGTACTATTTATTCAGACACTTCCTCACAAGTCCTGTGGTGGAACAACTCTCAGGTAGCCATCTAACCTCCTGTCCGCATCTCCTCATGCTGCTTTTTGGTTGGCAGCTGCTGTTTGATTGATAGCTTGGTTGTCCAGGAGATGGGAGAGGGACAAGAAGAGATGGTAGTAAGGAGCACAAGTACTTATAAAGTGCTTAAGTGGCCTGTCCTTCCACAGATGCATATTTCTTGACTGTTGGTCAAGACTGTTGGTTACTTTATTGTAATAATAATAATAATAATAATAATAATAATAATAATAATAATAATAATAATAATAATGATGATGATGATGATGATGATGTTGGAAGGGACTTTGGAGGTCATCTAGTCCAACCCCCTGCTCAGGCAGGAAACCCTATACCATTTCAGACAAATGGCTGTCCAGTCTCTTCTTAAAAACTTCCAGTGTTGGAGCATTCACCGCTTCTGGAGGCAGGTTGTTCCACTGGAAGCTGTTTCAGGCATTGCAGTCATCACAAAAATTAGAGAACCATGCTGGGCACATCCATTGATACTGTAACTCCAAAAAGCATGTTAGAAAAATGATGTAGGAAATTACCTTAAACTATGTTACATCCTGGCTATGTAGCTCAGTAGTGGCTTTTCAAATACTGCTGAACTGAGTCTGTTGGGACTTGTAGTTTTGCCTTATCTGGAGGGCCATAGATATTCTACTTCTACTTTGCAGACTGATTGGTAGTGATTCTCTAGAATGTCACATATGAGCATATTCAGTTCCTAAATGGAGATGGACCTGGAGTCTTTTACATTCAAAGCATTACAGCTAGTCTGTATAGCAAGAAGATGTACCACATTTCCTTATAGAAGTCAGCTATGGCTAGAGCATTTGAAGTCAGTGCAGTTTGCTTCTTTCTGAGTAGGTCCCCTTAGAATTGTATTGTGAGCTCATTGGGACACAATGGGAGCAACATTGATAAAATTGAATATGAATCATGTGAGGAAAATAATATGTTTTGAGCTTTTCTAAGGAAAGTGATGGAGAAGGTGGTAGAGAACCTGCTAGGGGACTATATAGAAAATGGATTGCCAAAATCCTTTTAAATCAGGATTCAGGTTTAATCATGGTACACAAACAACTGTGGTCAATCAGGTAGATGGTCTTCATCAAAACTTGAATGGTCCCAGTAAGATTTGTGGTTCAGCACTATCCCCACAGCTCCATCTTGAGTTTGGAATACATAATCAAGCTACCTCAAGGGTAAATGAGTTCATGTCAAGCACACACAACAACCAGGATACATAAAATAGCATTAAGATCTGCATCAAAAATGGGAAACTACCAATATATGACAGACTGCACTTATTAGGGGCAACCTTCTTAAACATGATAAAAAACCCATATGCCATAAGAGGAGTGTGACCCTCCTGGTCCTGTTCTTTGTGGCATTCACTACCAAAAACCATGTTATTCTTCTGTACTGCCAACAAGAATTAAGGATTTATAGTGATGGGCAGATCCAGTTGGTGGTGCTGTGAGAGAAACACTTGAGCATTTTGAATTCTACTAGGGCTCTCCTCTATGCTATTTAATATTTACATGAAACTATGGGGAGGCCTCCTTATATACCTCCTATGGGGAGACCTCCTTTTCAGATGTATGTGTAGGTTGTACCCTCCTTATAATTCAGTTGCAGGTGAAAATATATCCTTTTTCCATGAGATACCGTGTCAATTTAAAAATGATTTGAAATGACACCATTTATAGTATTTAGTCATATTGTTTATATAGATTTCATTTTCTGCTGTTTGTTTTCTGGATTGGGTTTGAAATGCTAATAGATAGCCACATTCATCTAATGTGAGGAAAGAAGCTGGAAGCAGCACCATCCAACCTTAATAAAAGAGAACCAGTGCACAGACAATAAGCAAAGAATGTTGAACTGATTGATGCACAAATCCTGACATAGTCCATGTTTCAACTTTGCATTTTTATGCCAAGTGGGGTGGTTTAAAAATGGCCAGGTGGAGTATTTTAATAGAATAGAAGAATAGAATAGAATCTGGACATGTACTTAAAAAAAACCCCACCCCTTTCATGTCTATGGAGATTCTCAGTCTTCCAGGTCATGGTTTATCTTGAAGACGTTTCCTTTCTCATCCAAGAGTTCTGAAGAACTGAACTGAATGAGAAGCAAAACATCTTCAAGGAAAAACAAAGAAAGTCTAATTACTTCCTGAAAAAGCACTTTTGGGACACCTCTTTCATCACTGCTTTTCATCACCTTAAATTGTTTATTTAACACTTACACAGAATACTGAATCTTCCAACCAGCAGTTGGCCCGTTGTCTAAAATATGAGAAAACAAACGCCCCTGCCAAATTGTTTGGAAGGGCTGTAACTTGGAATAAAATATGGTCTTGGCATAAGGTAATCTTGTATGGAATGAGTAGCTGGGCACACAGTGATGCTTCTTCCTTAGGGCTGAGTTAACATGTTTTCTATCAATCCTTGAGGCTGCAGAAAACTATACAGGCATAAAAGTGACTCCCTCCATTGGAAATTGCTATCCTGCCACTGGAATAATACCAGCAAAACTGGCTGTCCTTATTTATTGTATACAGGTCATGTTATATACTGTACAGGGATTGTGGACTCCTCCAGATTTGTTTTCCTTTCCCTCCTATCCAGATATCATTAGTTGGAAGAAACATACATCCATCATTCTGATTAGTGTGGGGAAAAGAATAGGTCTGCATCAGCCTGAACATTGTCTTAGGCCANGCCAAGGTTGCCTACCCCTGTCTTAAGGGAAGGGCTGGGGATGAGATGGAGACTATTTCATGAGAACATAGTGAAGAAAGAATTTAATAAAGTATTTTTTGGAAACAGATATAATGTTAATTCAAATATGTGGCTGCTTTTCCCCCTGCCTGTAGTCTTAAATGAAAGAGGAAAAATGAATGAATGAATGAATGAATGAATGAATTAGTTTGCAGGAACTTTCTCCCAACCTGACCAACTGATCATATGCACCCTACACAGATTCTACAAATGTCTTTTAACCATAGATCTATAAAACAAAATTTGGGAGGGCTGAATGCTGGCCTTTGAGCACTGTGCCAGGGGATACGTTGAGAAAATATCCACATATCCATGCAGGGTTTTTGGCAACCTCACATAAATGGTTCCCCATGGCCTACTTCTGGCAGACATTTTTTGACTGGGATTCCTTGGTGTCTCCCATCTAAAAAATAATGATGACTGACCTTGCTTAACTTCTAAACCCAGACAAGCTAAGCCAGATGATGCCGCTTGCTGAGACTCTAATTTTAACATAAAGTAAATGAAATCCAATAAATGAAATATGGCCAGCATTGTTACTTGCCATTTATCTATCAAATTTCCCTTTCTGTAGGAATTTCAATTCAATGGAACCTTTAGAAGGATTCTGGGGGCTGCACTTACAGTTCTGTGTTGTTGTATGAGATCCTGTGACTTTAGCCTATAGACTGAGATCCATCTAAAAAATCTAAAAGGAAAATGAACTTTAAAAAAAACCAAGCCTTCTGCTTGAAGGTGGAAAATATTTTAGAGGCTAGTGGTCCCTAGGCATGTGAAGACTGTAAATCCCAGAATCTCCCAGTCAGGAAGAGCTGCACATTCTGTATGGAAAGTTATGGAAAACTGTATGTCCCCACTCTTTAGAGCAGAATGTATATCAAGACTAAAATGGCACTGTTGTGTGTGTGTGTGTGTGTGTGCCTGTGCATAGAAAACGTCACCAAAACAGAATTAATTAAGATTCAGACAAGCTCAGAATTGCTTCTATTGTTACTATGACTATTACAGAATCAGACTTTATTCCATAAAAAGCAAAATATTAAAATCATTCCTTAAAATCACTCTTAATTTAGTTTATAAAAGTCCCTTCCTTCTGATCATCCTGCCTACAGCAGTTTGTACATCCTTGTTCCTTATGCTATAGATCAGTGGGTTTAACATGGGGATCACCACTGTATAAAACACAGAAAACATCTTGCCTCGGTCTGGTAGAAAACTATGGCTGGGCCGTACATATATAAAGAAGAGGGTGACAAACAAGATGGAAACAGCAGTGAGGTGGGTGGAACAGGTGGAGAAAGCCTTCCGCTGTCCCTCCACAGATCGGATCCTTAGGATGGCACAAACAATATAGATGTAAGAGATAATAATAAAAACGCTGCTGAGCGTGCCAAGAGTGAAGGACATGATAAAAAGCACCATCTTGTTGATTTGTGTCTCAGAGCAGGAGAGGGATATCACAGCAGGGATATCACAGAAGAAATGATTGATCTTGGATTGGCAGAAAGTTAATTGGAAGGTCATAACTGTATGTGTCATGGCATTTAATAGTCCAGCAAAACAAGGTGGAACTAAGAGTAATAGACAGGTTTTCCTAGACATAATAATCGTATAAAGCAATGGATTAGAAATAGCTACATACCGATCATATGCCATGGAAGTTAGGAGATAACATTCAGCAGCCACGAAGAAGGCAAAAAACCACATTTGTGCTGCACATTCCCTTAAGGAAATGGTTTTGCTTTCTATTACAAAATCGATCAACATCTTTGGGGTAACCACAGAAGAATAGCAAAGATCCAGTAATGACAGGTTACTAAGGAAGAAGTACATGGGGGTGCGAAGCTGAGAGTCGATCTGGATTAACAGAAACATCCCAAAATTTCCCAGCAAGGTAATGAAATAGACTGTCAGGAAGAAAATGAAAAGCAGAATCTGTAATTCTGGAGATGCAGCAAATCCAACCAGGATGAATTCATACACCAGTGTGTGATTTGCTTTTGCCATGTGTGCTTTTTCTGCAAAGAAAAGTGGAAACTAAGTTTAGCTGCAAAATGTCACAAAACATTGACATCGAATGGAAGAAGATCAAAAAAAGGACAGGCTGAATTTCCACATGCAACATCCCCAATTTCAGCTCTTACTTAAAAAAAATAATAGAAAGTTTGGGTAACAAGTGAATGTTGATTTTTTTTAAAAAAAAAACCATATTACACACATCATGTGCAATTTCAACAAAAATATTACTAAATATGTCTCTTAACCTTTCCAAATTTTAGTAGTTCTATTGTGCGTTAATCTTTCCCTTGCCCTGAAATCATACCCCATAAATGCCCTAAACACTTTACTGCTGAAATACTGCATTTTCTCCTCTGTCCACCTCAACTATGAAATGATGTATTATTTAGATTTATTTTCGTCTTGTTCCTGACTGTAACCCTAGTCACTCTCACCTGCGACTAAATTGTATTTTTGCCGAGAGAGGATCCTTTTAAGCAGTCAGATCTGACAAAGACACGCATGGGGTCCAGGGAAGGATTCCTTGGGATGGGTTTCTGGGTCTTGCAGCACAGAAAGGCATCTTTATATTTGTCCTTCAGCCTTCCTCCTGGAGTTTGGGGAGTATACTGCCACCATCAGGTAGTAACCAATATATATATATTTATTCCAGTGGGTACAAAGATTACTTGCACTGAAAAAAAAAAATATTTAATCTGAAGGTGCTTCACTTCCTGCCTGCTAGTGCACATTTCTCATTGGCTGTCTTTGCAAAATAAACCTATGCCTTGGAATCTGCAGAAAAGGTCAGATCTCCAAGAGTCAGGAGAGCTGTCCTTATGTGTTTGAGTGATTGACATATAGAAGGTGGGTTATAGTAAGAGATCCTGTACTGTTAGGAATTGCCTACTTGGGTAGTACGCTCTCCTTTGCTGGAGGGGAACTCTAAGATGATCTCCAGGAATCCCTCCAGCCCTTTTATTCTAAAATTTTGTAAGTAGTTCTATACACACCATTCACACAGATTTCCTTAATCATTTTTTTTAAAAAAATGTTTTCCATAAAATATTGAACAGACTTTTATTTTACAAAAGCATCTTGAAATGGAAATGGCACACTCCTGCCTTCTTTCCTAAAGCAGATGCCTTGCAATTTGACCAACAGCTAAAGTGGCTCCTCTGTTACTCTGTTCAGCATTGTGCCAGTTTTTCTCCTTTAAAGCACGGGATGTGGTTAGTTATGGAGGTGAGATTGAGATGTAATTGGTGAATCCGTGTGAGAGACATCTTTGCCTACATGTTTCATCAATCTTATTCTGGCTTTAGTAAAGGGAATCTTACTTTGCCATTTGGAAAAAAAAAGTCTAGTCAAGTCTTTCTTTATAGCCAAAGCATTTCCCCCTGCATTTAGATTGGTTAGAGTGGAGAGTCATGTAGGGCGCCAGAAAAGTAGATAAGGATCAGTCAAGGAGAATTTAGGTTTAGCTCCTGGCTGTGCAATAGAAAATCTTGTTTGGGGTGGTCCATGCCTCCAAGCTGGATACCCACTGGAGCTCCAGTTCTTGAAGGTCAGGAGAAAGAGGTAGACTTGCACCAACCTAAAGTTTTTAATCAGTGCTATGCTAATCCCACTCCCTGAATGGGATTCGTTGAGAACACCACTGGCAGAACAGTTAGCCAGGTGTCTCTGATTGTTTCTAGGGCAATTTTTTTTTCTATTATGGAAAAAAAACTCTATTTGAACACCAGGACAGCTAAGGAAAACTTAAGGTTACCTTAGTGTGGAGATCAATGGACTCTCCAGAGAAACTATGTACATGGGGACAGAGCAGAAGAGTTTCACAAAACATGGATGGGCAACAGGTAGATACAAGCATCTTAACTGAAATTTGTGGGTACTTTCCCCCCCTGCCTGTGTTCTCAAGTGAAAATCAAAAAGAGAATGAATGAATGAATGAATCTCCAGAAACTTTCTCCCATCTTGACCAACTTGACCATAGGCATATGCATCTTACATATATCTTCTAATAGGGAATTATATATCTAAACAACAATTTGGGGTGGGCGGTAGCTGAGGACTACACTTGACCTTTGAACACCATGATAGAGGATACATTGAGTAAAAATCCATATATCCATGCAGTTTTCTTACACAAAACTGGTTTCCCATTGCCTTCTTCTAGGAAGCATTTTTTTGACATTTCAGGCTAGCCAAGAGCCCAGAAATTCCTTGATGTATCCGATGTATCCCATCCAAAACGTAACTGTGGCTGACTTTGCTTAACTTCTGTGCCCAGACAAGATAAGCCAGATGCTGCCCCTTGCTGAACCTGTTACATTTCCTTTACTTTATGTTAAAATGAAACAAAATATGGCCAACATTTTTACTTGCCATTTATCTGTCAGCTTTCCATTGCATTCAATGGAAACTTTGGGAGGATTCTGGGGGCCATAAGGTCTCCAACTTTGCAAGAGACTCTGTCATCTTTGAAGGCAGACATTTCTTTCCCCTAGACCCATGGCTCCTAGGTGTGTGAAGGCTGTGATTCCCTGCCAGGATGAGTTCAACATTCTGTGCAGAACATTATGTAAAACTGTATGTGCACATCCCTCAGGAGTGAAAAGAGTACAGTTAATTAATACAGGGGTGGTGGAATAAGAAAAGTGAAAAAAAAAAGATCTACAACAGAAATAATTAACGATCATAGAAAGTCAGGATTAATTTTATTGATTCCACACTACTGTTTTGTAACTACTACAAAATAAAATTTTATTCCGCATGATCATTTTTATTAAAACCTTACCTATTGTATTTTAAAAGCAAAAGATCTAAATTTTATTTATTTTATTTTATTATTAAACTTCTATGCCACCTATCTCACTGAGGCAATTCTAGACAGCTTACAAGTTAAAGGCAGTCATACAATTTAAATAATTATTTTTCTTTTTGGACAAAGATGGAACTCATCACTTAGGAGACTAGCTCAAGGTTCTTTTTCTTCTGATCATTCTCCCTATGGAATCTTGTACTTCCTTGTTCCTTATGCTATAGATCAGTGGGTTTAACATGGGGATCACCACTGCATAAAACACAGAAAACATCTTGCCTCGGTCTGGTAGAAAACTATGGCTGGGCCGCACATATATAAAGAAGAGGGTGACATAGAAGATGGAAACAGCAGTGAAATGGGTGGAACATGTGGAGAAAGCCTTCCGCTGGCCCTCCACAGACCGGATCCTTAGGATGGCACAAAGAATATAGATGTAGGAGATAATAATAAAAACGCTGCTGAGAGTGCCATGAATACAGGACATGATAAAAAGCACCATTTTGTTGATTTGTGTCTCAGAGCAGGAGAGGGATATCACAGCAGGGATATCACAGAAGAAATGATTGATCTTGGATTTGCAGAAAGTTAATTGGAAGGTCATAACTGTATGTGTCATGGCATTTAATAGTCCAGCAAAACAAGGTGGAACTAAGAGTAATAGACAGGTTTTCCTAGACATAATAACCATATAAAGCAATGGATTAGAAATAGCTACATACCGATCATATGCCATGGAAGCTAAGAGATAACATTCAGCAGCCACGAAGAAGGCAAAAAACCACATTTGTGCTGCACATTCCCTCAAGGAAATGGTTTTGCTTTCTATTACAAAATCGATCAACATCTTTGGGGTGACCACAGAAGAATAGCAAAGGTCCAGTAATGACAGGTTACTAAGGAAGAAGTACATGGGGGTGTGAAGCCGAGAGTCTATCTGGATTAACAGAAACATTACACAATTTCCCAGCAAGGTAATGAAATAGACTGTCAGGAAGAAAATGAAGAGCAGATTCTGTAATTCTGGAGACCCAGCAAATCCAACCAGGATGAATTCATACACCAGTGTGTGATTTGCTTTTGCCATGTGTGCTTTTTTCTGCAAATAAAAGAAGAAAGTAAGTTCAACTACAAATGTTCGTCACAAAAAGACAATGAAGACAAGATAGACTTCATTCTCCCATAGAGCATACAGTGCTTTTCTCATACAAAAAATTCCCAATTTCAACCCTTACGTAAGAATTGAATGTTGCTTTAAAAAACAAAACAAAAAACAAATAAACAGACTATACACATCATGTGCAATTTCTACAACAATACTATTAAACATGCCAGTTAAACGTTCAAGATTTTGATAGTTCTTTTGCATGCTTATCTTCCCCTTGTTTTGAAATCATACCTAATAATAACTTTAGCGCTATAATACTGTATTATTCCCTCTGTCCACCTCAATTATGAAATGATGCATTATTTAGATTTCTTTCTTTCTCATTCCTGACTGTTATCCTAGATCCTCTTGCCTGGGACTAAACTGTATTTTCCTGAGAGAGAAATCCTTAAGCAGTCAGATATGGGCTCCAGAAAACGACTCCTTAGGATGGATATCTGGTCCTGCAGCACAGAGAGGCGTCTTTATATTTGCTTGGGTCTTTCAGCTTGCTTGCTGGAGTTTTTGGGGAGTGTACTGCCACCCTCAGGTGGTAGCCAGCAATTATTATTTTTTTTGTTATAGTGAGTATAAAAATTACTTGCACTGGAAAAATGTATTTAATCTGAAGATGCTTCAGTTTCTACCTGTTAGTCCACAGTTTTTATTGGCTGTCTTTGCAAAATAAACCTATGCCTTGGAATCTGCAGAACAAGTCAGGACAGCTGTCCTTATGTGTTTGAGTGATTGACGTATAGAAGGTGGGTTATAGTCTGAGATTCTGTACTGTTAGGAATTGCCTACTTGGGTGGTGCACTCTCCTTTGCTGGAGGGGACTCTAAGATGATCTCAAGGATCCCCTATAGCTCCTATATATTATATAGTTCTATAAGTAGATTTGCATATATCTTTTGCAATCAATCAATCTGTTTATTACAGCCATAAGGCCAGACATAATCAAAATGTATAACAACAGTAACAATTTTATTTCCATATTTACAGGATATAAAACCACCAAACAATCAATATAGTATAATCCAAAATTCTCAAAATAAAACATCGTATTAAATCCCCCCCCCCAGACCTTAATAATGGTGCGACGTATTGTGCAAATGGTGGCACAAAATTGGGCAACCTGAATTGATATTTTCGGATCCTTATCCGAAAGTAGCAACTTTAGATAAAATTCATATCCCCTGCCTGGAAATTTCTTCAATATCGGATATATAAGAATCTGTCTAGAGTCTTTATATAAAGAGCAATGAAGCAACATATGGCTTAGAGTTTCTATAGAGCCATCACCACATGGACACAACCGAAGGTGCATAGGAATGCCCTTAAACTGTCCAAAAAGGACTGCCGAGGGCAATGCATCCAGCCTGGCTAAGGTGAAAGCTTTACAAAATTTCGAAATTGTAATGGAAAATAGATAAAAAGCTGGGAAGAATCCTTCTGGAAGCAAGTGACAAATGTTGGAATGTGCCACCTTACTTAGGTTTGTTTGGAGATCAATATCCCAGATTCGTTGTTTCAAGGCAGTTCTAGCATTATCAAATCCTAATGAACACAGACTTTCCATAGAGAAGCCCAGCGATTTAATTTTATCTAGGGCTTTTTTTCCCATGACGATTTAAAGTGGTCTGTAAATACTAATGGAGCTAAACCTACAGGCATCAAAATTAACTTTAGCCAAAAGGTAAGAAGAAGGAACCATGCTCTAGCTTCCAATGAAACTATGCCTATTTCTACCCGTAGGATGGCATTTTTGATACTTTTAGGTACCATCAGTATGGCTCTAATAAACCTATTTTGAATAATTTCAATAGCATTAAGCTTTGCAAGTGAACATATTTGCGAGCCATAAAGGAGCTGAGGGACTGCCTTAGCTTGAAAAACCTTACAAGCTGCCGGGATAAAGTAAGCTCCTTTTGAATGATAAAATTTTATGATAGCTGATGAGGTGCGCTGTGCTACACTTGCCCGATAAAGAAAATGAGTATTCCAGGATAGGGAAGCATGAAACTGCACTCCAAGATATTTATAGGTACGCACCTGTTCAATTGAAGTCCCATCAAATTGCCATTTATGGATCTTATGATGGTAAGAGGCAAATACTAAAACTTTAGTTTTTTCATAATTTATTAAAAGTTTGTATTCTGTGCAAAATAAAGCTAGTGCGCTAAGTGCTTTTCTCATTCCCACCTGAGAAGTGGACAAAATGACTATATCATCGGCATACAATAGTGCTGGAACTGCACGATTAGCCAAGATAGGTGGATGATGGGCTGGATTTGCAATGATTTCATTGGATATTTTCTTTGATTTTTTAAAATAAAATTTAGGTTATATGCCATGAAATTTTGATTATGTACCATTAAGTCATTGCCAACTCCTAGCCATCATGTAAATAGATTTTTCTCACTGATGATCTGCCCATAATCTGATCTTTCAAGTGCTCCAGCGATGTACTCTTTGCCCTGCATAACTGAATCCATTGATATTGCTGCTGGCTGTCCTCTTCTGTGATTTTCTTCCACTTTCCCCAGTGTTACACCTTCCTCCAGAGAGCTACATCTCCACATTATGTATATGAAGTGGAATAATTTGAGCCTGGTCATTTTTGCCTTGAGTGAGAACTTTGGGTTGATTTGTTTCATGAACTACTGGTTGGTTTGTTTGTTTTTGCTCTCCTTGTTATTATTCTCCAACACCAGATTTGAAATGTGTCAACATTCCTTCTATGCTGCTTCTTCAGAGTCAGTTTTCTCTTCCATAGAATGTCACAGGGAATACCATAGCTTGATGATTCTGAACTTTGGAAGTATAGATGAATCACAGTATTTGAATATGCTTTCGAAGGCCTCCATGGTTGCGCTACTGAGTGTTAAGCTGTGCCGTATTTCTTGGTTGCGTGTTCCTTTACTGTTGATGGTTAATCCTAAAACGGAGAAGCTATTTGCCACTTGGATATCTTCATTGTCAATTCTAAGGCTGTTTTTATTACCTGTTCTCATTGGTTTGATTTTCTTTCTGTTTACTTTTAGTCGGAAGGGATTTTAATTAACTGGGACATGAAAAGATACAGATTGGACACTGCACTCAAGGACATGGAATTTTATGAGAAATACAAAGCATTTTTGAAAGGGGAAAGCCCAGCATTTCGTGCAGAGAGAGAAACAAAGAAACAAGAAGAGGCAGCAATAGAAGGAGCAGCCAGACCAAGAGAAGAGGAAGGAACAGAAAACACAAATAGAGAAGAAGGGGCAAAAGCAAGAGAACAGAGACAGATAAGAACAACTAGGAGAATAAAACCTAAATATAATTGAAGGATATGGAGAAGGAAAATGGGATTTTTTTCAATGAACATAAATGGATTGAACTCCCTTACAAAAAGATTTTTTTTTACACGACTACAAAAACTAAAAATAGATATAATTTGTCTCCAAGAAACACATATTAAGAGACAACACTATAAACTGTTGGAACAACCAAAAATTGGGAAATTCTACTTCACATTAGCACAACAACAACAACAACAACAACAACAAAAGAGGAATAGCTTTATATATTAAAGAAATAATGAATCCCAAACAAATCTATGCAGATGAAGAGGGAAGAATATTAACGGTGGAAATAATGATAAATCAAAAACAGATACTGATGGTAGCAATATATGCACCGTAATAACAAACAAGAAGAATTCTATCAAAAATTACATAAAAATAGTGGAATTGGAATATCAAAATATTTGCTTAATAGGAGATTTTAATGCAATTGTAGACGGGAAGCTGGATTACAGAAGCAGTAAAATAGGGAAAAAAAGGAAGGAACATACTACCTAAAACTTTCTTTAAAATGGCAGAAGAAATCTGTATACAGGATATATGGAGAGAAAAGAATCCAAAAAACCCACAATATACATTTTACTCAAACAGGCATAAATTGATATGATATGGATTGATATGATATGGATATCTCCTGAATTGATATGATATTTCTAGAATTGATATGATATGGATATCTCCTGAATTAAGCACGATTATACAAGAGATTGAGATAGAAACCAATATATGGGCAGACCACAATCCGATAAAGATGACCTAGAGAGGAGCAAAGAAAAAATTAAGATGGTCTCTGAACCAATCTTTATTGAAAGAGAAAGAATATATACAAATAGCAACAAAGGAAATAGAATTTTTCTTTAAAATAAACAAAAAAGAAGAGACATCTCTTCAAAATATGTGGGATATGGCTAAAGCATACTTTAGAGGGCTGGCTCTAACCTACATGGCGAAAAAGAACAAAGAAAAAAAGCAACAACAAATGAAGTTAAAGGAGGAATTTATGAAATTAGAATTAGAACTACAAAGAGATCCACAAAAGAAAACACTTAAAAAACAAATGGAAATAATAAAACATAAATTAAACTTAGCTGAGGCTGAAAAAATGGCCCAATAAATTAAAATTTCTTTGAAAATGCTAACAAACTGGGTAGGTGGCTAGCATACAAACTGAAAAAAGAAAGAGGGAAGATATTATGTTGCATCTGTATTGTGGCTTCCTGATCTTTATGTAAGTTTCTCATGAAGACAAATAGATGTTCTAGGATTCCCATTTTTCTGAGCACATTGAAAGCTAGAGATGAATGACAGAATTAAATTATCCCCCCCCAGTTCTCAGGCTGTAAAAGAGACAGCAGGTGATTTGTACCTTCAGATAGGAAAATTATGTTAATGTAATTTACAAAAAAGTGGAATTTACTTGTTTGGAAGGATGTGTTTGGAAATCAACTGGCTCAGCTTATCCCAAGGGCTTTAAATGAAAACTGAAGAGGAGGAAGCCAATTTTTAGGACCTAATCCCAAGCATAATACTACTCCATAGTACTTTTCAGCACTCTGAGTGGTTTACAAATGTCAACATATTGCCCCCAACAATCTG